AAGCGCTCAAACACTAACAAACTGACAAGATCTTTCGCTGTCTATAGCCGGGTACCCATTCCCACCTGGGCGAAGTGAGGAAAATTCGTGTAAAGTGCGAGTCCGAGAGCCTAACCACTAGGCCACCGACGCCACATGTTAAAAGGGAAAAGAGCAAGTTTCACAATGAGCCAATATTTTTAAGAAATTCAGAAATACTAATTCAATCAATTCTTAAACAGAAAGGAGCATCAACAATAAGGAGGGTTAACGTAACAGGTTTATTCCCGACTTACAAGAGTATGGTGGTGGTCTACAAAAATAACACAATCAGTGGCCCGTTTGATGTCCTCTTGCACTGATTACGACCTGACATCGTCGCCGCTTTGAATCAATCGATCGCTACACGGCCTGTTGAGAGATGTTATTCCAGTCTTCATACAATGCTCTCTCAAGTTGAGGAAGAGTCTGAAGCTTGTGTAGTCTCCTTCGAATGCCGCGATCGAGCAAGTCCCTTAGATGCTCAATGGGATTTAAATCAGGTGAGTAGAGAGGCCACGGTTGAAGAACTGGGATGTTCTTTTCATGTAGGAACTGGGTAGTTAGACGAGCTCTATGCGCTGGGGCATAAAGGTTAGTCCCTGTTGTTCTTTCACGATCCATTGTTGCGTACACAGTTCTTTTTCTTACATTAAAATGTTTCGTAGCTGTGGATACTGAGACACCCCCGAGGATTATTCCTACAAGCTGATTTCGCACAATTTCTCTTAGACGTGGCGTCATGAAACGTAGATAACACAAGTTTTTATCACTGGTGAATTGTTTACAAAAATGAAACAGCTTTGATGTGAACTTCTTTTTCATACAAATCATTTCCTTGTCATGAGTTATTCTCAAAAGACACAAAACATGTAACACGCACACTGTAAGAAAAGCACTTGCGCGGTCAGAAATCTGAAAACAACTCACTAGGGGCAGGTATATCACCTAGTCGTGTGAATATTTGAAAATAATATGTGGCAGAGAGAGAGAGAAAGAGAGAGAGAGAGAGAGAGAGAGAGAGAGAGAGAGAGAGAGAGAGAGAGAGAGAGT